ACTAAGGTCCTGCTGTCACTATACCATGCTGCCTCTCCCAACTCATAAAGCGAAATACTGACCTAAGCTATGGTCTGGTTTACTGCAGTGCAATCAAAGAAAAGTGCTCAGCCATGTAACGAAAGGACTCCCCTGTGATCCTGTGGACTGCCAAATGCTCACGTGGTTCCCTGCCTCTGTGCCCTCCTCTGTGAACCATCCTGTCTCTGTCATCCAGGTCTCTCCTCATTGGCAACAACCAAGTTATGCTTTCTTGTGTGTTGGCCATACAATGTGCCGAGTAGATCCATGCTGTCTTACTGAGACTTCCAAGGTTCTTGTCATGAACCTGACTTCCTTAGATTGAGCCTTGACTGGAGGAAGTCCTCATCTGGATGATCAGAGGGGAAGAACCAATAGACACCGCAGCCAGTTAGCAGATAAATGGTAGAAGGGAGCATAGCTTATTTCTGCTCTTGGGAGTCTACTGACAACTGCTAAGAAAAGTTCTAATTCTAAGCATCCAGTTCTAATTACTAATAGTATCGATCCTGTTAGTATAACTGTTTTGTCTTTAAAATTTTATAGAACACCAAAGGGAAAAAAGAAGCTGAAGAGGATATGCTTCTAGTTCCTACCTGGTGGATGCTTTAACTCTCCATTGATGTCAAAGAATGTCCCTGAGAAAACTGCTATGTCCAGCCAGTGCACCTGAGCACTGCTGAACTAGCATGGTTTTTGTTAGGGATTCTGCATATTTAAACCACATGGGAAGCTTTAAAAAATCCCACCATCTTTTGGATTCCTCTGTTGAGAATTTCCTGTTCTTAAAAATCCTATTTTAAAAATCCCATTTTAAAAATTGAATTATCTGATGGTTTGATTCCAATTTCTTGAGTTCTTTATATATTTGGAAATTAGCTCTCTGTCCGATGTGGGGATGGTGAAAGTCTTTTCCCGTTCCGTGGGCTGTCATTTTGTCCTATTAACGGTGTCCTTCATCTTATAGAATCTTCTCGGTTTCAGGAGGTCCCATTTAGGGATGGTTGATCTTAGTATCTGTGCTACTGGTGTTCTATACGGGAAGTCATCTTTTGTGCCAATGCATTCTAGTCTGCTTCTCACTTCTATCAGGGTCATTGTGTTTGGTTTTATGTTGAGGTCCTTGATCCACTTGGACTTGAGTATTGTTCAGGGTGACAGGTACAGATCTATTTGCATTCTTCTACATGCTGTTTGTTAAGGATGTTTTCTTTTTTACATGGTATAATTTTGATTTCTTTGTCAAAAATCAGGTGTACATAGGTGTGTCGATTTACATCTGGGTCTTCAAGAAGCGTTCAACATCCTTAGCCACCAGGGAAATGTAAATTAAAATTACTCAGATTCCACCTTATACCTGTCAGAATGGCTAAGATCAGAAACACAAGTGACAGCTCATTCTGGAGAGGATGTGGAACAAAAAGAACACCCCTCCATTGCTGGTGGGAGTGCAAACTTCTACAGCAACTATGGAAATCAATATCGTGGTTTTTCAGAAAAGTGAGAATTGCTCTACCTCATGATCCAGCTATACTCAAAGTATGCTTAATATTCCATAAAGATTCTTACTTGTTCAACTACGTTCACAACAGCTTTGTTCATAACAGCCAGAACCTGGAGACAAGCTAAGTGTCTGTCAACTGAGGACTAGATAAAAAAAAAAAAGTGGTACATTTACACAATGAGGTATTACTCAGCTGTTAACAACATCATGAAATTTGATAGCAAATGAATAAAACTAGAGAAAAATCACCGTGAGTGAGGTAATCCAGACCCAGAACTTCAAACATGAGAGATACTGATTTATAAAGTAAAGGGTAACCATGCTTCAAGCCACCAACCCAGGTAACAAGGAGAGCCCAAAGGAAACACTTGGATCTCCCCAGGAAGGGGTAACAGAAGAGATCTCGTGGGTGGACTGGGGACTGGTGGGAATGAGAACATGAGAACGTGAGGGATCAGGTGGGGTTGGGCTGGGTTGAGGGGAGATTACTGAAAGCGCCAACTGGAAAAGCAGGACAAAGGGAGACATTTTGGGATCTGGTACAAGCCAAAAGATGCTCGATCATACCACATGGTTGCTTGCCCAACTAAGCTCATAGCAGTCTTATTCACAATAGCCAGAACCTGGAAACAACCTAGATGTTCCTCAACTGAGACATGGATAAAGAAAATGTTTGACATTTACACAATGAAGTATTACTCAGCCATTAAAAACAATGACAACATGAGATTTTAAGGCAAATGGATTGAACTAAAAAAAATTATCCTGAGTGAGATAACCTAGACCCAGAAATTTAAACATGGTGTGTACTCACTTATAAGTGGATATTAGCTGTAAAGTAAATGATAATGCAGCTACAATCCACAGACCCAGAGAGGTTAGGTAAAAAGTATGACTCTGGGTGTGGGTGTGTGTGGGTTACATGGATCTTTCTGAGGAGGGGAACTAGATTAGATCCTGTGGGTGGACTGGAGGAAGATGGGAACAGGAGTGGGAGTGATCAGATTAGGGAGGGATGGAGAGAGAGAGTTAGGGGAGGAAAATTGGGAGCATTTGAGAGATAGTGTGGAAACCTAGTGCAGTGGAATCTTTGAGGGTGTCCCAAGTGAGGACTCCTAGTACTGAAGAATAGATCCTGAACTAACCATTTCTTATAGTCAGGCAAGCCCCAAGTTATGGGACTGGGTTTCATTTGGTTGAGTTCTTGGCCAATAGGGTCCCATGGCAATCCCCAAACAACCCAGACTGGTGCTAGGACAGACTGCCACTCTCCAAAAACATCAGGACCCCAAATTCAAGAGAGTAACATCCAACAGCTCACTGAACACAGAGATGTTGAACTGGTACCTGCACAGACCCTTCGTCCCTATGTTCTGTCTCTTTGGTGCTGGAAGGTCCTCTGCAGGCTGCTGAAAGAGAAACCCTTACACTAACTCAGCCATAAAACTTTCAACCTACAATTTGTTTTCTTTGCATAAGATGCTGGGGTAATAGTGGCACAGAATTTGTGGGGGCAGTCAAGCAATGTCTCGTTTAACTTGAATTCAAAACCATGAGAGGGAGCCTGTGCCTGGAACGGCCTGAATGGCTAGGAAGAGACTTGATATGTCAGAGACCTCAGGGAGAACCAAACAGGACTGTTCTTAAAAAATCAATGAAGTAATTTCTAATGATATTCTGCTATATTCTAAGATCAGTGCCTTGATTCGTTGTCATCAGAAAGACTCCCTCCGGCTGCAGATATGAGGGGATGGAAAGACCCGTGGTCAGACATTATGCAGAGAGAGAGTCTATATTGGAGGTTTCCGCTGGGTCCCTTCTCTTAGAGCCTGGGGAGCCCCGTGGAAAAGGAGGAGAAAATATTGTAGGAATCAGAGGACATGGAGGATACCAGGAGAATGTGGCCCACTGAATTAACTAAGCAGGGCACATATGGGCTCACAGACTGAAGCAGCAAGCACGGGGACCCGTGTGGGTCTGAACCAGGTCTGCTGTGTATATGATATGATTGTTAGCTTGGTGGTGTTTTGCAGGCTGGTTCCTGACAGTGTGAGTAGGTGTGTTTCTGACTCTTTTGCCTGCTTTTGGGATTATGTTCCTCCTATTGGGTTGTTTGATCCAGCCTCAATATGAGGACTTTTGTCTTCATCTTATTGTACCTTATTTTGTTGTGTTTCACAAAAACAAAACAACACAACAAAAAAGAATGGCAGGCTATCCATCAGTTGAATGAGGACTCAAAGGCTTTAACAAGTTCTTTAGGCTTCAGGTCTCCGATATTCCATGTTGTGGTGGGCTCTTGGAGGGGACAGTATTTGAACTTGGTGTGTAGAGGTGGCAATTGACAAGAGTTGACTACTGTAACGTATAGGAACCGTGTGGAGGGGCGGGGAGGCTCATGGAATCTACACAATCTTAAAAAACACCCACAGCACATACAAGGTTACTTAATGAGGAGGTAGCAGGGATAAGGTATTCCAACAGGTATATGCTTATACGTTATATGCCCATTAAGTTGTTTTAATGTGATTTCAGATGAGAGCTTGGGTCCAGATAAGGAACACCAGTTATAGAAAGATAGCATATAGATTAGAAATGGAAAGTGCTCCTCTGTGCGGTTGACGCAAAATAGGTAGCCCAAGGATAAGTGTAGATGGTCACCTGTGTGGGCACTACAATAGCTAGAGTCATTGGCATGGTTGGGGTGTCATGTGATGGAACACTAAGTGATGCCAGCTTCCCCTTCAGACTTCTCATCTCTAGTTTAGAAGATTCCTCTGAGTTCCATCTAGTACTCCCAATGCTTCAATCCATCCCACGTGAGCCTTTACTGGGCCTTGTAAAGCCACCGTCCACATGGCTGTCAATGACTTGTTGGAATGATGCTCTCAGTCCTTTCCAGTTACACCTAGTGGTGCCTTAACCATCTCTGCAGCTAGGGTTCCGTTTGTAGGTTCATCATCAGAAGCACACCCATGAGATCTGAAAGAAATATAGGGCCCAGCCAGGCTCCTGGCTCTGCTGGCAAACCCCATACTGATTATTTAGTTTTGTGGTGGCTTTCTGTATGTGGTGTTAGCCACCGGTTTTATTGTTGTTACTGTTGTTGTTGTTTTAAAAGAAGATTCCTGGTATTAGATCTATGGTTTCATTCACAGTTCATAGCGGATCATACTCATTCTGAAAACTTCACCTGCAGTTGGGTTATCTGGTTTTCTAATGGCTCTAATAACCATCTAATCATGTAAAAAAAATCCTGCATTACCAGAATAGGTTTATCATCCATTGCACTTTGACTTGGGTGGATGCTAATGTAGAAGTCTGGCTTTTTTAGGTATGATGTAATTTTGAAAATCTGTTCCCATCTTGTCATATTTTTTTTGAAATCTGTTTATGCTGTATTTTTAGTAATAAAATTTCAGATACTTGCAGTCAGTGCTTTCTTGTTTCCTCTCATTGCTGTCTCTGGGAATTTGCTTAGGAAATGAGATGGCAGATAGCCTGACGTCTCTTGTATCCCTTATCATCTTCCGAGCTGTGCTGCTGGTGCGCATCCCAGTCATTTATTATGGAGCAGACAATAGCTTCTCAGAACCTTCTCCATTAGTATCGGCTTTGAATGAAGATTTAATTGTACATTCCTTTGGCGTTCTTGCTGCTATGCGTGAGTCATTTTTCCTTCTCTCGGCTTTGTTTTGGAAGATATTCATCTTTCTGCCGTTCATCACTCTGCCCTCACAGGGCTCAGAGTGAAACTGAAGTAAACAGGCTGATAAGCAGACACTCGCTGTTTCTGGGTTTCCTGTGTTCAAATCTCTGGGGTCTAACAGGGGCTGTAGAGAGGATGGGAAGTTCCACTTATGGCAAAGCTTTGTTTTGAGAGCAGGAAAGAAAGCCAGGAGGCAAGTGTACTTTTACAAATACAGTGGCCATTCACATCCAGGAATTTGGACTTTATGTAGCTGATGAAAGCCATGGGAGGAATTTTTTTCCAGGGAATGAGACTCAGGTTTGTGGATAAGATGTTCTCATTTTTGAGTTGCACGGAACGATTGCACTTCAGTCACATAAACCCAGGAAGTGCTTAGCATTTGTTAATGTGCATCTCTATTCTCCTAATGTAGAGAATGAGGGAACTTATAATTAAAGGTAACTGTAAGCAACCAGCTAAATATAAAAAGCAAGTCAGGAACAACGGGAAAAAAGTCTGTAAAAATGGAGGTTATTGTTTCCTTGGTGCTCTGTAAATTTATCTCAGGTGTGCAGAACATCAGAACAGACAGTGATCCTGGGAGTGGACTTCAAACTGATGTCTTTGTGTATTCTAAGTGCTAACCCTCTGTCAGATATAGAGTGGTAAAGATTCTTCCCCTATTCTGTAGGCTGCCTCTTCATTCAAATGAAAGTATCCTTTGTTGTTCAGGAGCCTTTTATATCCATATGGTCCCAAGAGAAGCCTTATGCAGTAGATGGCAGTTAGTACAGGGACTCACAACTGGTCAATGTGCGAAGAATAAGAGACTTCAATTGCAAAGCCATACATGGCAGGTCTATATCCCAACTGTCTCCATCACGGCTAAGGGATCTCTGAGAAAGCGGAGATGAAAACACTGCAAATATCAAAGGTGGTAGATGTCTTCAAGGACACAGTGTTTTTCAGACACAACAGGGAACACACACACACAAGCCCATAGTGGTTATGATAGCATGCCCAACACCCATGTAAGCTCAAGTCAGACAAAATCTCAGCATGGAGTGGGAGGAGGGCATAAAGCCTCTTGCTGGGGAGCTATTGGCATTTGATCGCTTCTGGGATAGAATCAGTTTTCTTTAATGATATGACACCTGGTATATCAACCATACTCCAGGGTGGTCCCTACACCCAGGAGTCGTTGGACAACACAAAACAGACTAGATAATTTTCAAGAGAGGATGAGAGAGATCATGACATTGGAGGTTATGGAGGTAGGGTTGGGTCTGGAAAGAGTTGGAGGAATATGATCAAAATACATAGCATGAAATTCTCAAAGAATTAATAAAAATATTTTTTAAAACAACAGAAATCCCAAACATTTTCTTATAAATGCTTTCGAGAAGTTGAGGATCAAGTAGTGAAATCAAAGTCTAATGTTAGGAACTCAAAGGGCTGAGTACGTTGTTTCCTAGAGAGAAGGATACATAGTATTCAGCAGGAATGATGAGTATAGTGTCAGCTGCTATTTCTGATAATATGTATGTGTGTGTGCATGCGGTGAGGGAGGTGCATACGAGCACACACAAGTCTGCATGAATACTCTGGTGTGCGTGTAGGGGTCAAAGAACAGTTTGTGTGAATAGGTTCTCTTTTCCCACCAGGTAGGTGTTGAGTATTGAACTCAGACTGTCAGGCTTGGTGGCAAGCCCCTTAATCTGCTTGAACCATCTCTTTCTGGCATGTGATGAGTGCCTAATAGAAGGGATTCAGGTATTGTTTTGGTGTGGGAGAATGTTAAAGTCATTCTGTTTTATTTATTTTCTATACACTGATGGTAAAATCTGATTTTAATTATCATGGGGTCTGAATAGTCTTAGTTATAGTAAAGAATTTTTATACAACTGATTGTGTGATATGGTTTTGTTATAACCAGCTTAATCTTTTAAAATTGTGCTCTGGGCAGTGAGTTAAGGTATACTGATTTCTTTTCTGTAGGAGATCAAGACATTTTGGTCATCCATGATTTGTAAGAGCATTTGGTAAGGTATGATTCCTCACAAAGGGTGAAAGAAATCAGCCATGTTTCTTTGTGAATTAACTAAGACCTATAGGAAGTACCTATATAAATCATACATAATAAATACTCCTCAATTTTATTCTCTTTATTTCTCTATGAGTTATTATTGTCTTAATTAGGCTTGATATTACTGAGTTAGGGTTGCTATTGCTATGACGAAACACCACGACCAAAAGCAAATTGGAAAGAAAAAGGGTTATTTGGCGTGTGCCTCCATATCACAGTTCATCATTAAACAAAGTCAGGGTAGAAACTCAAATAGGGCAGGAACCTGGAGTCAGAAAATGATACAGAGGCCATAGAGGGGTGTTGCTTATTGACTTGCTCCTCATGGCTTTCTCAGCCTTTTTTTTTTAAAAAAAATGAAAGCCGGAATAACCAGTTCAGGGACGTCCCCACCCACAGCAGACTGGGCCCTCCCTGGACAATCACTAAGTAAGAAAATGTCCCTCAGGCTTGCGTGCCTACAGTCCAATCTTACAGAGACATTTTCTTGGTTGAGTTTTTTTTTTTTTTCTTTCTGATGACTCTAGCTTCTGCCAAGTTGACATAAAGCTAGCAGGACAATTATTGCACTTCATTTTTAATTGTTTTATTTTGTTTTATTTTATTTATGTGTTGTGGGCCTGTATATAAGAAAGCCCGCCACTTTTGTGTAGGTCAGAATAAATCACCTAGAATTATAGTTACAGGTGGTTGTAAGCTACCATTTGGAGCTGGGACCAGAACCTGGGTCTTCTGCAACGACGACTTAACCAGTGCTCCTAACTGCCCAGCCATCTACCCAGTGTTACTTGTCTAGAGGTGGTGGGAGCAGGGAGAATGGAGCTGATAAAGGAGGTGACTAAAGTCTAATGCAATAGCCATCTTTACTCAGAGCCTCAGATAATCTATACTCTGAAGGTTAAGAAAGGCCACCTGAGTAAAGTACTCATGAATTCAAGCTGTGTACAGTCACAAGCACAAGCCACACGTGGCAAACACATGTTTTTCTATTGTGACAAAGAACTGAATAACATCAACCAGCCATCACAAGTAAACTGAAGTAAGCTTACTCCGATTTGCTACACCTGGGAGGTGCAGGAAATGCTCCAAGAACAATTCCATGTTTTAAAGAAACTGAGGACACAAGAGTGTTGTCTTGTTTTATTGGAGTGTTCCCACAAGTGCTCAGAATCATCCTTACATGACTCCATTCCAGGACCGTGTTTCAACACCCCAGCACTTTAGACAATATGCTTACTTTTGTGAATGTGTGCATGTCTGGGTGTTAGTATGTGCATGTGAGTGCAGGTGCCTCTTGAGGACAGGAACATAAGATAATCCTGAAGCTGAATTTGTAGACTGTTGTGAATCAGCAGATGTTGGGTCAGGGAGCCAAACTTAAGTTCTCTGCAATAGAAGTATGTGGTCTTAACTGCCGAGTCTTCTCTCTAGCCTCCGTGTTTTCACCTCTTAACAAGAGAGATGAAAAATAAAAACAAAAACAAGAGTTACCACACATAGGTAGGGTTGTAATACTAATGTTAAATGTAAATACTGGGTGAATAAAAAGCAAAGACGACATTTACACATCTGGCAAGTCTTTCCCCTACATCCTGTTCTCACTGGGTTTTGTGTTTTTGATTTAACTAATATTGCAAAAGAGAAAAAGGCCTTTGAAAAGTCCTCATGAATGATGGGATACTTGAAGGGTAGTTAGGCTTGTAGAAGAAATACTTGGCTCAAGTAGAGAACACTGAGAAAAACCCAGAGAAGTGTCACAGGAAGGTTCTTGTGAGTTAAGAGGGAGTTCATCCTTGGTTGGTTAAAAAAATACCCTCAACTGAACTAAATTAGTCAGAACTGTTATTTCTGTAAGAGTCATTGTGGACACATGAGCTTTGAAGATATGTAGTTCAAGTGAAGGAGGGCAGCTTAGTTTGAATGGTGGCAAGCTGAGAATCATTCAGTATGACCTATTTCACATTTATATAGCATATGTAATTTTAACTATTTTTATATTCCAATTGTATGCTAGGTCTTTTTTTTTTAGCAGATCCACAGTGTTGAAACGTATTTATTTCTAACTTTTTAGTTAGTGTTGAATATCAGTTCTTCAGATCTAAGCAGTGAATGTCCAATATTCTTAGTGATAAGGGAACTGAAAATCAAAACCACTTAGGGATTTCATCTTACCCCCATCAGAAGGGCTAAGATCAATAAAACAAATGACAGCTCATGTTGGTGAGGCTGTGCAGTAAGGGGAATACTGATCCATTACTGGTGGGACTATGAACTTGTACAGTCACTATGGAAATTAGCCTGGTGGTTCCTCAAGAATGTGGTAATCAATTTACTTCAAGATCCAGCTGTATCACTCCTCGGAATACACCAAAGGATGCTTCATCCTACCACAAAGACATTTGCTCAGTCATGTACATTGCTACTCTATTCATAACAGTCAGAAACTGGAAACAACTTAGATAGCCCTCAACAGATGAGTGGAAACTGTGGTACCATGTATGCCCAGGGTGTAGGTCACCACCTGTGGCCATTTTGATGTCCAAGAGCTGTTCCACCACTAGGTCTATGTTGATCTGAGTGACCTGTTGATATAGGATTCCCCTCTTTATTACCATTGGTTAATAAAGAAGCTGCTTTGGTCTATAACAGGGCAGAATATAGACAGTTTGGAATATATATATATATATATATATATATATTCATATATATGAAGAGAGAGAGAGAGAGAGAGAGAGAGAGAGAGAGAGAGAGAGAAGGCAGAGTTAAAGAGACACCGCATAGCTGCAGAAGGAGAAAGACACTGGAATGCCAGATCCTTAGCTGGTAGGCCACAGCCTCATGGCAATACACAGATGAATAGAAATGGGTTAATTTAAGATGTAAGGGTTATCTAGAAATAAGCCTAATCTATTGGCCAAACAGTGTTGTAATTAATATAGTGTCTGTGTGACTTTTCGGGTCTCAGCAGCAGGGAAACAAATGAGCAGTCTCTGTTTACAAATGGTGCACCAGCATGGGACAGCTATATCCACATAAAAACTGAGAGAGCTTGGGAAGGTCTTCTAGACACAAAATAACAGAGTTAAGCACGACTTCTCGTTAACCCAATTTTTTCTTTTTCAGGTAGACTCTGTTTGCTAGCTGCAAGCAGAGGTACAGCTTCTTTAAGAGAAATCTTCCTAACTCAGTGTTAGCAGCAAAGAATTGCAAAGCTTCTTTAACATCCAGCTTCCTGGTTTGTGCTAGCAGAACAAGCTCTGGCTCTTTTAGGAGGTCCTGCACTTAAATCGGGTCTGTGAGCCGCATGTTACAAATTGTTTAATGGCAACATAGATTTGCTGTGTCCCTAGAGTTGGGGCAGTGAGTATGGCTCACAGAGGTCATAAACATACCTCTGTCATGTGGGACAGGGTAGAGCATGCAGAGTCACAGAGTTAATCCTAGCCATGCCTTCTTAGCATTTTTTAAAAAGGCATTCTATGTCAGAAAATGGTTACAGATACACAATAAAGACAAATTCATGTGAGAAAGACCCCTGAATGGGTTGGATAAATACACATAGGCTTGACAGAGAGAAGAAAAAGACTACAGACAGTTATAAAAAAAGAAATTATTTTAAAAAATAAAACAAAATCTTTAAAGAGACAGTAAAAGTAATACAAAAGAGTAGAAACAGTCATAGATTAAAGGAATAAAGAAAAACAAACCATGTAAAGACGGACTATACACAGAGTCTGGATTATGTATATTATTGTGTTTTCTTTTAATTTTTTTGACTGCAGAGAGATATTTGATTCTGGGGGCAGCTAAGCTAAACCAACATAAAAGTATCTTGACTTCAAACTTTGAGTCTAAGCATATGTTACTTTGGAAAGAGGTTCTGCTTTTGCTTTCACAGAGGATGAGAACCTGTGAATTCCTTCCAGGCTAATGTAGTTTGATGGAACAAGACCCCCCACCTCCACACACACACAAAAGTTCTCTGTGAACCCTAAAAATACTTCATCTTACTAACAATAGGAAGCAGTTTGGAGAAAACTATGGCCAAATCCCAAAACTTTCTTAAAAGGGGGGGGGGGTGGAGACATAATATAGAGATGAATACTTGGCATTGGTATGGATCTTGGTCTATTGATACAAATTTAATGTTAATTTTTGTACACTATGTATATGGATTTCTACTCTTATTTAATGTATTATGTTTATACATCGCATTTAAAATGTATAAATTGATAGATAGTCTTCTGTAATAATCAAACTTTTAGTCAGGTTAGTTAGGTTTTATAGATATATAGTTAGGTTTTATAGATATATAGAGATACATTTTAGTTAGATAGATAGCACATAATCTTCAGCACTTCAAAGACCTACAATACATTTAAAATATTTTAAGAATTTAGACTTTTCATGACAATGGGACCTGTTTGCTTCTGGCAGCACCAGTCTATTTTAAGAAATTGATGGTCATTGAAGAAACTCATTATGGAATTTGCCTTCAATGTGACAAGACTAGTCATTTGGGCAAGAAACTGCTATTTCCTGGACTGCTTTATAGTATGCTGTATGAACAGAATATGTAGGACACACAGAAAAATGACTGCTGAACTTGCCTAAAGAAGGTAAAATAGTCCTTCAGGGTTTCTGCTTCATGAAAGAGTCTGCCAGACATTCTACAGGATATAGAAGAAAGTACCAATATAGGTAAATTAGTCTTTCAAATTTCCTGCTTCATGGAAAAGTCTGCCAGATACTGTGGCCTGCAGGCTGAAGATGGATGCCCCAATGTTACAGAAGAACTTTGGTTGAATGTCCAGGCAGCAAGATATCTCAATTCTAAAGTTTTGGAAGTTGCTTACAATGCATTTCTGCTTTACTTAGGTAATATTATATCCTTCTGGAGTTTTTGAAGAGTTGAAGACTTATAGTCATAGCTCTAGTTTTCTTTAGTAATGATAAAAGATAAATTAGTTATAAAACTTTAAACTCACAAATATAGGATCTATTTATCCTTAATTTGCTAAATGTAAAAGGACTAAATATCATAACTATAATTCTTGCTTGATACCTATTTTGTGATATGTAATTTTACTATGTTAAAGTTAAAAACTTCCTTTGTATTTAGACTGAAAAGAGGAAATGATGTGGGATTCCTCTCTGTATGCTATGAATATGTGGTTAAATCTGGTTAATAAAGAAGCTGCTTCGGCCTATAGCAGGGCAGAATATAGCCAGGCTGGAAGAGATACATAGAGAGTAGGTGGAGTCAAAGAGATGCAATGTAGCTACCGAAGAAGAAAGATGTCTGAATGTCAGAACCTTACCTGGAAGGCCACAGCCTTGTGGCAATACACAGATGAATAGGAATGGTTTAGTTTAAGATGTAAGAGTTAGCTAGAATATTCCTAAGCTATTGGCCAAACAGTGTTGTAATTGATATAGTTTCTGTGTGATTTTTTCGAGTCTGGGTGGCTGGGAAATGAGTGATTAGTCTCTGTTTACAGCTTGTGCTGCCACTGGGGGACATGATGATGTTTGGGACTGAACTCCTGCCTGGGGTAGGGTGCATGTCTCTGTCCATTGCCCTGTGGCAGCAGCCAGGGTCTGTGTTGATTTCCAGGGCTTCAGTAACCACTGTAGTCAAGGCAGATGACTAGGATCTAGTCAAACACCTGAAGCCATATCTAGGTTCTGTCATAGTTAGGGTATGAGTTGGTGTCCATGGCTCCTGATACCAAAAATGACATGATGATGCTGGGGGTCTGGGCAACCACCAGGGAACATGTTGCTGTCCGTTGCCATTATGTTGCAAGGGTTCTGCTTATCTGGATGTCTTGTACTGCCACCTGGGGTCATGGTGACAGCTGAGCCTGGGCTAATGCCTGGGATCATGTCTTGGTCTGTGGTTCTACCACAGTCAGGGTTGATGATATCTGTGACCCATGGTGCCACTAAGGCCACATGGATGCCTGGGGTCTACGTCATATCCTATGACCCTGTTGGTGTCTGAGGGCCATGCTGCCTCTGGACCTATGGTGTCTCCTGGGCTCAGTCTGCTAGTGTAGGCCATGTCTGGGTCTGTGGCCTAATAGCTGCCATGGTCTGGGCTGATGTTCATGGCTTGTGTTACTAAAAGAGGTCACAGGAATCATGTGTGTTGAAATCAGAAGTGCTGAGCTAGCTCTATCCCTCACTGGCTGTGCCCCTCAGTGGCCCTGCCTCTCTGGACACTGCAACAGGAGAGCTGGGGTACTTGGAAGAGATGGACCCACCCCTCAATATGGGAAAGTTGACCCTGATGGTATGGACCCAGGAGAGCTGTCTCTGTTTCTTGCCTTAGGGGGTAGCCCCAATTGCCTGGATCAGTAAGCTCAGCTACCACCGAGTCCATCTCCTGGACCTTGGGTTGGTCCACCCTGATGGTCTGATGGTTGCCGTATCTATGATCTACTGGAGTGTGTGAAGAGATTGGTCCTGAAGAACACAAACTGATGAAGAACATCAGTTTTGATGAGGGCCAAGTGTTGACGATGTAACAGAAACCAGAGACCTTGAACCAGACGAATGACTTATTGCAATGAACATTTTGCAGGCGGGACCAATGGAACCAATGGGATACACTGCATGACTCACCACAGTTCCTAATGCCACTAGAATAAATGAAGAGGTGCTGAAAAGATGGAGGAGCGAGGTGGGTTTTTCTTTGTTGTTTTTTTTTCTAATAAATATTTGGGGCTGCACACTGTAGGGGTGAGGGGCAGATATAGATGAACTGGGAGGTAAGCAGGAATGGGTGCAAGCTGTGAAATTTCCAAAGATCAAGAAAGAATCGCTGGGCAGTGATGGCACATGCCTTTAATCCCAGCACTCCGGGAGGCAGAAGTAGGAGGATCTCTGTGAGTTCAAGGCCAGCCTGCTCTACAGAGTGAGTTTCAGGATAGTCAGAGATACACAGAGAAATCATGCCTTGAAAAAGCAAAACAAGAAAGAATTAGATTTTTTTTTTAAAAAAAGGAACATGTGGTACATTGACTCAACGGAATGTTACTCAGCCATTAAAAAGAAATGAAATTATGAAATTTGGAAGTAAATAATGGAACTAGAAAAAAAATTCTGAGTGAGGTAACCCAGACTCAGAAAGTCAAATATGGTATGTGTTCACTTATACAGAGGCAGATTAATGTGCATATTAGCAGTTAAATCAATGATAATCAAGGTATAATCTGTAGAACCACAGAGGTCAGATATATAGTCTGGGATGGTGAGGCAGATGGATTATTCTAGGAAAGGCAATAGAATACATAGTTATGGATGGCAGGAACTGGAGTATCCAGTAGGAACAGGGAGGAAAGAGTGTGATAAAGGAAGGAACACTGGGAGAGACAGCTAAAACTAAAGGCCATTTGAGGGGTAGTATGGAAACCTAATCAATTGAAGCATCCTAAAATATGAACATATATGAAAGCAATCCAAATAAATCACCAAATAATAGAGGGAGAAGACAGAGACCCAACCGATTATCCCTTGTCACCAAATGAAGCTTCTAGTGCTGGTAGTGGGGTCCCATGGGAACTCCCAAACAACCCAGGCTATTGCCAAGAATATAGGTTACTCTCCACAAACTGCCATCAAGGCTGTATTGCTGAATACAACACCTACACAACTCACCTGACATGAACAAGCCGAGTTGTTGCCTATACAGAACCTCCACCCCTCTTTGCTACCCTCTTCGGTACAGGAAGGTACTCTGCATGCTACCAAAGCAGAAGTGTAAACACCAACACAGTTATAAATGCTGTGATCTACAATGGTGTCTTGCCTGCAACATATGCCAAGGCAATGGTGGCACAAAGCTTATGGGAATAACCAATCAATATCTAATTTGACTGAAGGCCCTTTCCAGTAGATGGAGCCCATACCTGATACTGCCTGGGTGACCAAAATCCTGAGAGTAGAGACTAGGTAACCTAGCGGCCTAGAACAAAGCTAAATACTACTATACTATACTATAGTAGTTGGGAACAATGATTCTCAACCTTCCTAATGTTGCAGTTCAACCATAAATTTAAATTTATTTTATTGTTACTTCATAACTGTAACTTTGCTACTATTATGAATGGTAAGTACATAGCCCCCAAAGTGGTTGCACCCCTCATGTTGAGAACTGCTGTACTTTAGCAACATCACAATTAAATGACTTCTAATGACATTGTTATACCCATAGGTTAGGGGATTGATTGTTCAGCCATCATCAGAGAAGCTTCCTCCTGCAGTGGATGGGAACAAACACAGAGGCAGATACTTTGAAGGTATACTTTCCATAGTACACTATAGAAGGTGAGAGACCTTGGAACACTCATCCCTAAACAGGATATCTCCATCAAATCACTCCACTTAGGGCACAGAGAACTCAAAAAAAAAAAAGCAAACAAAGATATAAGAACCAGAGAGGATGAAGGACACCAAGGAAACAAGGCTTTTCTATACACATAGGAGCAATGCACAAAGGGACCCATAGGAACTCTGACAGCTTGCACAAGGCCTATATATATAGGTCTGCCCAGACAGGGTCCTACGGCTGAAACAAGAGGTAAACACATATCCCTATCCTTAATCCAGAAGCTATCTCCAATTGATAGCCACTTGTAAATGAATTTAGTTTTCTCCAATGGAGTCTCACTGGGAAAACAAACTACTCTATAGTGGTATATTATTTTAATAAATAAAGCTTGCCTGAAGATCAGAGGGCAAAGCAGTCGTACAAGTCAGAGAGTGGTGGTACACACTTTTAATCCCAGGACTAGGGAGACAGAGGCAGATGGATCTCTATGAGTTCAAAGCCACCTTGGGCTACACAAGATTGAATCTGTCTAAATGAGAAACAGAGCTCACACAAAGGTGATCCCAGCACTTGCCATTCCGTGCCTTTAATCCCAGCACTAGGGAGGGGGAGACAGGAGTGATATGGCTGGGCATAAAGGAGCATGAAGAGAAAGAGAGAGGAACTCAGTGTGGTGTGGAGTTTGAGGGTTCTTGGAGACAGACTCTCGTCCCTTTGGTCTGAAGATTTGGTAGAGGTAAAAGGTCTCTCTCGTGGTTGGTTGCTTTGCTTTTCTGATCCTCAGGTTGAATCCCAGTGTCTGTCTCTGGGTTTTTGTTATTTGTGTTATACTACAGTTAAGGGAAGGCTGCGTGGCCAAGACTAGATGGCTAACAAAAAAAAAAAAAAGAACTCAAAAGTATCTGCGGAGGTTCCTTGTCACATAATGTTGTATCAGGGGTCAAAAAAATATGATTTAATCTTTCTTTTAATTATTTTTTTTTAATTTTTAATATATTTCTTTCTCTTTTTAACCTACACATCCTTTGTGTATATAGTATGGCTTTCTATTTTGAGTTCTTAAAGGAATTCCTGACAGTGTAAACACGTGGGTCTCTGCATCTACATTTGTTTCTTGTGTCTTTTTTGGGCTCTATTCCTTCTTTTGTTTGTTTTGTTCTTTTCCAATGGTTTTTTATATTATTATAATTTAATTTTATTCCTCAGAATCCTGTTTATTTTCTAATGAGAGAAGGAAAGGTTGTGGATCCAGATGGGAGGGAAGATGGGAAGGATGTAAGGGTGGAGGTAGGGGAAACCATATCAGGATATATTATATGAAAAAGAAACTATTTTCAATAAAATACAATATGTAGATGATTCAGGGATCCAAGAAAAACCCAAAACTCACATTGGCTTCCAGTGTTATATGAATAACAAACAATTACTGCAGAATGGGGAACTCTTCAGGAGGGGTGCCTATGAATTGGGGAAGGACTAATCCTGACTGGGGCTGCTGTGAGTAATGCCAATAAAATTACTGGTTCACCAAAAAGAAAAAAAAGATCTTTTGATTTTAAATGTAGTGAGAATGTTTCACAAGAAAAAAAGTAAAATTTGATAGAAGAAAAGTAACTGGTTGCTTTTGGTCCTTTCAAAATATTACAGAAACAATTTTATCTATGTCTGAGAACTACAAATGGAAAAGCTGCTTTATAAATTTAAGAAGTTTTAAAAACGCTTCATATGAATTCTAGATAATGAGATATGATGGCAAGGGTATAATTTTCCTGAAGAATTATGTTTTTCATGGGAAAATTTGCATGAAAATCATCTTATTTTTCTCTGAATGCTATGCTTTCCCCAGAAAGCAGTAATTCCTCTTTAGTGTTTGAAATCAATATCCTTTCCTTTCCTTCAGCTGTCAGTGGCAGGATGCTTGAATCTGAAACTCTGTTTCACCCTATAGGTGGTGAGGTGACCACATGCTTCTCACTGAGGACATCCTTTGAACTGGGAATCGAAGTGTTGGTTTCGTATGAAAACATGGACGCAGCCCTTTCACGGTGAGATGACAAATAATTCATAGTGGAAATGGCAAGGGGGAGGCAAAGCAAGGGAAGGCGGAAGAACGCCCAGGCCCTCCAGAGCTGCTCAATAAAACTAGAGATGACTTCCTGCAAGGCTGGTGCAAACCTCTTTAACGCTCTAAGTTTTGAACAAAGAATGGGGCGTTGCTGTTTCCTTATAAATTTTACTGACAATATTACAAGAAACAGCTGTTAAAGCAATACAGACAAATGTAAGCCATTTTAAAGTGGACTCTAGAGGAGTCTACTGCCTTGCCAATGTTGAGATATTCTATTTTCTTCCAATCGCTGGGCATCTCCTTGGGTTATTTAGTCTCAATTTCCAAAAGTGACATTTTTGTTTTATTTTTCAAATATTTTAAGATTTATATTTGACTCACATACAGAAACATAAAATTGGGTAACATGTTTTAGTACACGCATACATTATAGAATATCTAAATTGGGTTAAATACACCTATTTCTTCATTTATCATATTTTATGGGGAGACTTGAATTCGTCTTAGCTTTTTGCAAGGCACGATGGGAACATTTCCATACATTAGGGACATTTCAAGAGATACAATCTGGTTACCTCACTGTACACCAGGACTTCTTCCATCTAATGTAAAATACATCTTAATTTCAGTTTCAGAATATTGAAATAGAAAAAAATACCTGTGCATTAAAATAAATTCTCCGAAGAAACAGGCGTTCTTAGCTTCTCTTCCTTTGTTTTGCTCAAGCAGTTTTCTGAGATTTTTTTCTCTACCCTTTTTATAAGCCTAGTTCAAGTTTTTCAGCTGCCAATGATCTCTTTCTAATTCTCTCTCCTCCCTTTCCTTCCCTCCCTCTCGTTTCCACCAGGGTTTCCCTGGATAGCCCAGGTGGGCCTTCATTATCTCAGTCCCCCTGCCTCAGCCTCCTGAATGATGGGGTTAGAGTAACCGCCCGGGCATGTACCTTCATTCCAGCTCTCTCGCTCTAATGCTCTTGACTTTGGAACTCCTAACATTTGACAACTACTCGCTCCTTTCAAATTGCTACTTTCTCATTTTCTTACTGTATCTGTACTCTTGGCTTCTGTCTCGGGTTGGATCATCTTCATTCACTCGGTTAAGCAACCCTGTTCCCTCACTGTTTCACAGCCCGGGGTCTGCCCACTCATTCACAGCGGGAGCTGCTGTTTGAGGTCTTGAAGGCTTGGCTCTTGCTTGGAGACACTTCCATTCTTCTAGTCGTCCTGCCAAATCCCTGTCTGCATGTAAGATGCAGTGTGAATTTTGCCTCCTGATGAAACGTGGAAATGGCTCTGATGGACCTTGAAATCTTGGCACGATGAAAACACCAGTTACTCTTCCCCAAACCAAACGAGAACCAGCCTTTAAAATTAAAGGACATATTTCTGGAGAATATGGCTTTGCTTTGCAAATTTGGCAAGCCTGCCCTGCAATGACTTTTAAATTCTCTGTGAAGACAAAGGAATCATTTTGAGAAAAAATAAATGCCTTTGATGTCTGAAGTTCTTGAAAGCTTAGTATGAACACGAAAGCCTCATGTTATAATTTCTTTACATATATTAGTTATACACAATATTATGTTTCATTGTGACATTTCCATATACATCTATCTATCCATCTATGTATAGTGTATTTTGACCAACTGCTTTATTTTATTCAGTGAATTTCATGCAGAATTTGGTCCCAGGTTGACTTTTGTCATATCTAGGCGCTTTACTGAGTTAAACGACCCTTTAAAATTATCAACTTCTTGTCAAAAGAAATACTTAGCTGTCTACATAGGGCTATGCTATTGAATTAGCTGTAGCAACCGTGGAAAGATGTGAGACTACTGAGACTATCAGTCATGAATCCAGAACGGTATTCAAGTATGAAATAGTTTAGGTATTAGCAGTAATATACATAGTAAAAATGAAGCAGGTAATCTGGATTTCTTCTTTTCTTTTTGTTGAATTACATTGGAAGAATTGTGTTTACTTTTGCATAGCTTGGGTTGGGAGAATGAGGTAAGCATCTCAATAGTTCAGGGTAGAGGTGCAGGAGAAGGTCTGTGTAGGGAGTAGGTGAAGGAGTGAGGTGATAGTCTGCATGAGGGTGGGGTTACATAGGCCTCACCATTGCTTTCAAAAACTTGCTGGACCCTTGTGTGGGAGACACACATGCTCCTCGGGTTATAGATACTAACAGACAGGGGGTCCTTATGAAATAGAAAAAGGGGGAACTCATGATGTAAATTTTTTGGTTATGAAAACGTTTATTTTTGATGACCTAGGAGAAGTAATATTTTCTACATGTTAATTTAGGAGATTGTCTCTTCCACTTTATTTACAATTTAGTAGGCTGACCTGTTAATTATTTTAAAGCATTATCTATAATTGTAGCTCACTTAATTCTTTCTGGCCCCAGTTCCCTTTGTCTTCCCACATAGTACGTCCTATATTAAAACACGTTATTATCATGCTCTCCAACAAAAGCCAGCTGTTACCTCTTTTACATAGTCTATTGAAGAGAATGTTCTCAACTGTTCAGGGAGGGTTATTCTGGTGAATATCTGAGTTATTTTTCTAATATCCTTGTGTGTACATGTGTAATAATTTTAATGATTACCTCATGCATCCAGATTTCCATCTGAGAGCTTATTTTAGGTGTCTCTACTCAAGGCAGCCGGAGAAATGGAAGCAGGTATTCCCACAAGTGGAAAAGTTGACTAGCTACTTTTGCATGTGTTTTTAATTTTAGTTTTGTGTGTATATGTAGGTACTTATTTATGCATGTACACATGTATGCATGTGTATGTATGTTTGTGTTCGTGTGTTGGCCAGAGGATGATTTTAGGAGTCTTTTTCAGTGGCTTAATATCTTATTATTATTTTTCATTTTGATTTATTCATGTGTGATTTTAATTTGTTAATGTGTGTGCATGTGTGTATGTATGTCTGCATGTCTGGTGTGTATGTATCTGGTGTGTGTAGGTGTGCGTGGTGTGTGTATGTCACACATGTCATAGCATATATGTGAAGGTCAGAGAAAGTGTTTGTGAAGTTGATTTTCTCCATTCATCTTTATGTGGAATCTAGGAACTGAACTTACATTATGAAGCTTTCACATGAATTCCTTTGCCCACTGAGGCATTTTTATGAACCCACTACCTTACTGCTGGGAATACGGTCTTTTGCTTAGCCTGGAACTTGCTGATTCAGCCATTCTTGGTAGTCAGCTCTCTCCAATGACCCATCTGTCTTTTTGTCTCCCCATCATAAAGGATTGCAAGTGCACATGGTTGCTCCTGGATTCTACAGGTATCCTAGGGTCCAACTGCAGGTCTTGGTGCTTGCACGGCAAGTGTTTTCCTGACTGAGCCTTCTCTCTAGCTCTTACATATGAGTTTTAAATCTCCACAAATTTTATTGTTTTTTAAGATGAAAATACAGCACCAGAAAACAACCCAATAGATATAAAGAAGACATTTTACCCACAAATACATACACACATTTACTTTATCTTTTTGGTATTTATTTTTATATGCATGAGTCTGTGCACCACATGTGTGCCTCGTGCTTATAGAGGCCAGAAGAAGGCTTCAGATCTCCTGAAACTGGAGTTAACAAACAGTTGGGAGCTGTCTGGTGGGTGATGGGAACTGACCCCGGCTCTTCTGCAAGAGCAACAAGAGCCCTTACCCACTGAACCATTCCTTCAGCCTTGAGTTTTCAGAACCTTAATCTGGTAATATCAATTCCATGATTCCCCAAAGCTCTATTTAACTGCTCTGATCATCACTGTTCTTCCAGTCTTTCCCCAGTGCTGAAGACTCTTCTTGGGGTGGATTTAAAGCCTGTTAAATATCCCTTCCCAGAGTGTTTGCATTCCTCAATAGCAGCTGTTTGTTCTCACTTTTCTTCCTGGGCTGGGTATCCAGTCCATACATTTATCTGTTAAATCTGATTCCAGATCAATGTAGTGAGTTATATCCAGTCATGGAAGCTATTGAACCATATATCTCACTGCTTACTGCCCTTTCCTTCAGGTCTCCAGCATCTGACCTTGGCAGTCACAGCCCTAAAAGCTCATAATCACCTTTGATGACACTCTCGGCTTCTTTGTCCTCTGAGCCTCTCATTTATCTTTTCTACCAGGACAGAACTCTTAGCCTCCCCTGATTTTTAATCTATCAGTTCAGTTCAGGCTCTCACTGACTGGCATGGCTGCTGTGTGACTGCATATGGCCTCCTCGGAGCTAGACCTTCAGTCTCTTCTGCAACCTTTTTGTGCCTAGCAGAATGCTTTCTCCTGTACAACGCTTTAATTTGCCTTCATTTTATTGCTTCATACATAAAGTTTACCTAGGACTAACATGCCAAGCCTTTCACTTAATGTTTAATATAATTTTGTTTCCTGACAAGCCTACTATTCATGCTCTGTATCATGCTTTAATTTGATTAGTTCAGTCTGAAGTTGACATTTCTACCGATGACACTTGAGATGTTCCTTTGATAGCATATGAACAAACTTCAAAAAGATGAGAGGAAGCTAATTTTAGGCTGCAGTCAATACAGAGATACATAACTGGTCCCAGCACTGAGATCAAGAGACTGAATGCCTATTCATAATCAGGGCACCTCTTCCTACAAGGTCATGGATGTCGTGGAAGAGGAAGAGAAAAGAACATAAGACCTCAGAATGGGGGTAGTGCTGTGAGATGCTGTCCTCTGGACAGGGCATTACTTTGGTACATATGAACTCACAGGAGCTGAGCTTTCCTGCTCAAGACCAATGCAAGCTCAAGCCAACCAAAATCCCAACAGAGATCAGGTGATCTCCAGACTTCCCTGAAGCGCTATTGGTAGTGAATAGTTATGGATGTGATCATTAGGCAGGTTTTTTCTCAAACTACAGTGGCTTTGTACCCATGTACATATGAACAGCACTAACTGGATTTATTAGTGGGTTACCAAATAAGAAAGACATGAA